ACTATTGTGCCTAAGAAAGAAGGTGCATCTTGTATCAGAGACTACAGGCCTATTAGTCTCGTGGGGAGCATTTACAAGATTATTTCTAAAGTGCTTTCCAACAGATTTAAGAAGGTACTTGACACGACTGTTTCATCCTCCCAGAATGCGTTTGTGGAAGGTAGGCAAATACTGGATGATGCCTTGGTGGCAAATGAACTTGTAGACTCCAGAAGGAAAAATAGAAAACCCGGCTTACTATGCAAGTTGGATCTTGAGAAGGCTTTCGACCATGTCAATTGGGAGTTCCTGGACTTCATTATGATGCGGATGGGGTTTGGGGAAAGATGGAGGGGATGGATAAAGTTCTGCATTTCCTCAGTCAGATTCTCTGTCCTGGTTAATAGTAGCCCGTGTGGTTTCTTTGGCAGCTCCAGGGGTCTCAGGCAAGGTGACCCCCTATCCCCCATGTTATTCATTCTAGTGATGGATGCTTTGAGCAAGATGATGGATCGTGCGGCGGGCGGAGGTTTCTTGAGAGGATTCTCAGCTCCGATTGGGGTGCTCAATGCCCGAAGAGTCTCACATTTGCTTTTTGTGGATGACACACTGGTTTTCTGTGATGCCGTCATGAATCAGTTGACCTACCTGAAGCAGATCCTGCAGTGGTTTCAGTTAGTATCAGGACTCAAAATCAACATCAGCAAGTGTGAGATTTTTCCGGTAGGTGAGGTTACTAATATTGATGCCTTGTCTGGTGTTCTCAGATGCAAGGTGGGTTCCCTTCCCACTACTTACCTGGGCCTCCCTTTGGGCGCTTCATATAAGGATACTAAGGTTTGGAATCCAGTGATCGAACGGGTTGAAAAAAGATTAGCAGGGTGGCAGAAACGTCATTTGTCAAAAGGAGGTAAGGAAGTGCTTATCAAAAGCACTTTATCGAGTATGCCCACCTATTACTTATCACTGTTGCAAGCACCGGTGAGCATCACAGAAAAACTGGAGCGACTTTAAATGAACTTCCTGTGGGATGCGGCGGATGGAACTAGAAAATTTCATCTAGTGAATTGGCAGACAGTCACTTCCCCAAAGAAGTGGGGTGGACTTGGAGTGAAAGATCTTAGGGTTTTTAACAGAGCTTTAATGGGGAAGTGGTTATGGAGATTCGGGGTAGAAGAGCATGCTCTATGGAGGGAGGTCATAGTAGAAAAGTACGACTCAATGGGAGGGTTTGGAGGACCAAGGCGATCACAACACCTTTCGGGTGTGGCATGTGGAGGAGTATCATGAAGAATTGGGAAGCATTCAGTGGCAACATCACTTACAGGGTGGGAGATGGAAAGAGAATCAACTTTTGGAATCATAGGTGGTGTGGAGAGAATACTCTTAAGGTCTCCTTCCCCACGTCTTCAGAGTTTCAAACCAGAAAGAACCGATGGTCCAACAGATTCGCAAGGAGCTTGAAGGGGTAGTATGAGACCTCTCATTCAGGAGGAACATGCAAGATTGGGAGATTGCGGAGCTCCAAGTTTTGTTGGCGCTGCTATACGGGCAAGACAGGCTTCAGCCATCCTGTGACTCTTGGAGATGGGACTTGTGTGGCGATGGTTTGTTCACCGTAAATTCCTTTTACCAGAGTATGTTGGTGAGAGAGGAGACCACTTTTCCATACTCCTCGATCTGGATTCCTAGGGCGCCCACGAAGGTGTGCTTTTTTGCATGGCTAGCGACAAGGGGAGTGATCTTGACTGCTGAAAATCTCCGAAAGAGGGGAATTACACTTGTTAGTTGGTGCTACATGTGCAAAAGCTCAGGGGAAGAAGTTGATCACCTTATGTTACATTGCCCTGTGTCCTCTACTTTGTGGAAGGCAATCCTGAATCTTTTTGGTGTTCAATGGGTGATGCCAAGCACTGTAAAGGAAATGTTACATAGTTGGGGCGGTTTTCGTAGAAGAAGAAAGCAGAAGGCGTGGAAGTTCGCCCCGTTAGCTCTCATGTGGGTAGTATGGGGGGAGAGAAATAGGAGAGCTTTTGAGGAGATTGAGTCTCCTTTTTCACATTTTAAGAATAGTCTTTTATCTTTGATCGCTTTTTGGTGCACTCATTTAGCCCCTACTTGTATAGAAGATTGGGCGTTTTTTGTAGAGAATCATGTTCTGATGTAAATTCTCTACGTCTTTGGTATACTTCGTGTATACGGGAGTTCTCTCCCTTTTGATTAATACAATTTACCTTATCAAAAAAAAATAAAAGGCTCCAGATATGGTTAAAGTGCATACTAAGGATAATGAAGCAGTCCATTAGTCCTTCATAACCTAAAGACCAAAATTAGAAGAGTGAATTCTACACGATCTTCATTCCAGCTTCATCGACCCATAGGTCATCCTTAGATGCCATCACACATTAATATATAGCGCACTGAGATGATACACATCAATTTACCATTTTATGCCAGACAATATACATCTATAACATACCATACAATCTGTAATCCTACATTGAGGTTACAAAGATAGATATCTATCTGGAAAAGTGAACTGTTATGGGATGACATGTTCATACAATGGAATATGAGATCTGGTTTGCCTTGAAGTGGTACAAAGCCAAAATTTAATTCCCTTGCATTAGATCCAAAATTTGATTTGCACTACAACTTAACAACGCTAACCAAAAAAAACCCAAACTAATAAAACACCAAAACATACAGGAATGTTGCTCCAGACGAAAGGTTTTTTTTTGGGGATGAAGGTGTTATTCGGTCCAGCTTGCGTGCACCTCCACTATTCCATTGGTACCAAAATTTGATTTGCACTACAACTTAACAACGCTAACCAAAAAAAAACCCAAACTAATAAAAAACCAAAACATACAGGAATGTTGCTCCAAACGAAAGGTTTTTTTTTTGGGACGAAGGTGTTATTCGGTCCAGCTTGCGTGCACCTCCACTATTTCATTGGTACCTTCTACCTCCCACCAGCACAGGTACCTGGTAACTCTGCCCACCAACGCTTAGATAGAGGGGAAGAAATCATTACCATTATTATAATTGTCCATCAGCAATTTGATCCCTTATTTTTACTAAAACTTATCTCCAGAATCATCTAACTTGCGATTAAAAAAAAATAAAGCTATAGTACTCCACTTCTGGAGAAACCACTAGATTGCATGTTATAGCTCATAGTAGAAAGTTAAATTACATCAACATCAGCAAACACATATTGTGAAACCTCTCAGGCACGAGGAAATGTTGTAGATATTCTTTATCCATATATTTCGAGAAGTGGAGTAATTACAGCTTCACTACAAAAGATACAACCACTTATTAAGCCTAAAACTAAATGTGGGAGCCGTCAAGGTTGCACTCTCCCTAAATTAAAAAGAATAGTACATGGCTATTGATTCTAGAGATGATTTTATTCAAGTTGTAGTCAATGACATTCTTTACACCGGATTAATAGGTCCTCATATCCAGAAAGTGAGCTTTAGAGCAAATACATGTGGTTCGAAAACATAACTCAGGAGAATGGCCAATTTGTACGGGGAATATTTTGTAGGCAAATAACTCAATTTTCAAGTGCCCTCTTAGTATCCAAGTCATGTGCTTGTCTTTATATGAGTTATTAAAATCTAAGTTGCTCCGACATGGCAGTTTAGGTGCCGCACCCGTCTCGACATGACACTAGTATGGGTGTGGATATAGGATCCGTACCGGATTTGGTCAAACAATTTTGGGCACTTTGATCACAACGGACGGAAAAATTCAAGACGAGATACAATTTGATTCCCGAAATCAGAACCAAAACTAGGTTAAATTTGAAGAAAATAGCATACCTTATCTAGGAAATCAATCTTTTTCTTATCTACGACTTGAGAATAAAAAACAAAAATCCACACTTTACAAGCTATACGTAAGTATTCCACAAAATTTCTCATAATTTAGAGATTTTTTTATTTTTTTATTTTTTTAAATTATTTTTAGTAGGTTCCCTGCACCCGTATCAGTACTAGGATCCGTATCTCCGAATCTTAGAATTTACATCTCGAAGGAACCGACCTCTAGATCCACACCCGTGTCAGACACGAGCTTCATTTTGAAGAGAGATTGAGACCAAGTGTTCAATAGGCACAATCTGATTGAGTGTTGGATTGCCTAATAGGTACAAGGGTCAGTTGAGGTGTCAAAATAAAAATTGGCGCCAACTTTAAGGGGTTGTCTATGTATTAGCCAACACTTTAACTTCTCAACCAACTATCCAGCCCTTCCTCTATCACCATTTCATCTACGAGTGCTGCTTCAAGCATTCACCTTTAATGGGCCTTTTTCTATTTTGTAGTTTCTAGTTCCCACATCCGTGCTCTCTTTTTTTTATCAGATAAAGTAATATTTCACTAATAGAAGCATCTAGAGGATGCAGAAACTGATCACAAAGAGATAAATCTGCAGAACATACAACCATATCCACCTAACTACTCAGGGAGCTTACAAAATCAAGAAATAAAATAGGATTATCTACATCAAAATGGTTCCACCTAGCAAAAAAATTAAGCAAACATCTAAATTTCGAGATTTGTAGGGGAGTTGTTTTTCCATCAAAACATCTCTGAGTTCCTCTCCTTCCAAATACTCCAAATAATACATTGGGGGATCATTTTCCAGAACTTCTTGATAGATTCCTTAACTCTTGCACTGTTCCAAATGACAAAATGTTTCTTTCAAGGTCCTTGGAATAACCCAACTTACACCAACAAGATTGTACTAGAACATATCCCATATAACTTTAACCACTGTAAAATGCAAAAATAGATGATCCGTACTCTCACATTCATTTTTACATAGATAACATCTATTGCACAAAGGTACTCCTTTTCTCATTAAATTTTCTTGTGTCAAGCAAGCTCTTAAAGCTGCCAGCCAACTGAAACAAGCTACATTAGTAGGTACATTAGTTCTCCAAATAAGTTTCCGGGGCCACTCCTCTCACTGTTTAACTAAGCAAAACAATACAATATTTTTGTTGAGGACATATAAAAGTATGTTTTTGTTAGCAACTTAAACTTTTAGATGAGATACTCACATACTTCAAACAATTCAATATGCCATTGAAGCCTCTATCGTCTTGGTAGAGACTCGAGTAGCTTCCACGACCGGCGGGCAGTACCAGCCAATGTGTGCCGCCCGCAAGCCCAATATGTTCTTTTTTAATTCTTCTTTTTGGTGATTGCCTCCCTCCATAGTCGGCTACCCCCTTTCCGTTCATCCTTCTTCGTACAAAAACTAATGTAATTCTCATTTCATCACTATCCTCTCACTATATATANGCAGTCACCAATTTTGAGCTAAGAACATAGGAAGGGATATTAAGTTGTGTTGCTGATATGGGAGCACGGGTCATAATCTTGATCTGAAATTGGGCTGACAATCAACATGGAAACACTAGCCAAATGGGAAAATCCCAGTGCCAGCATGGCTCAAATGGTATACCTAACCATACAAAGTCAATGAGAAGTTATTTTTTTCTATTTTAACATGGTACCAGAGTAGGCAAAATTCATGGATTCAAGTCCCACCGCCACCCATTATCAAAAAGATTTTCCACGTGCTTGACCCACGAAAAAGAATCAGGCTCGCAAGTGAGGGGGCGTGTTGAAGAGATAATTATGTATATTGTGCTCTCTCTAACAGCTTAAACATATACTTAGATTAGATGGTCACACACTTCAAACAATTCACAATTTGAGCGCCAGTTAGTTCTGTAAAAGACCTTGGTATTTTCATCTAGTTAGAAAGATAAAAATCAGTGATGTCGAGGAGTTAAACTTACATATGCAACATGAGACTAAAGGTTGAAGTAGCACAGTGTCCAAGAAAGAAAAGTAATATAGGCAGCATATTGAGAGCTCCTGAATATCTCTAGGAAGCCTCATGAACGGACCATAGCTTACAGTTCCTACAGTGCAAGAAAAAGGGTTAGCCTGTGAGGAATTAATAATGTGGGATTAAGAAATATGAAAGAAATAAAATATGGAATTAGATCAGAATGAATCTTAAGTACCATCGAGGCAGGTGCAGTAAAAATCTCGTATTATGTGCTGCATATTGTCATATTCTTTTGCCAGTGGACCATTCAAACTAGCAGCTTGTCCAAGACGAAGTTGAAGACGCAACACAGCCTACAAGAGGCAATTATGGAGGAGGCAAAAGATGATGGTTCAGCTAAATATGAAAACTTGTAGAACAAATGGATATGCATATGCCATAAATTTCATATAGCTAAGTAGGTACCTTTGCATGTAATGGGTGTTTATCACCTAAGAGGACTAACAGCTTTGGAAGCTCCCTTATCCATGCAATTTGATGATTAAATATTTCAAGATCCTTAGAATCCAGATAAAGCCAATCCTGCTCCTACAATCACACGAAGTTTGACATTAGATTCAACGAAGAAAGGATATAGGCACATCAACATTGTGCTAATTGCCTAGCAACAAAAGCTAATCCAGTTACTCATTCTGATGACTGCTAATACAGGGCTTTTCTTTCAATTAAACAAATAACAGCAACCAGACAAACGGAGTTCTCCCTTCAATTAAAAACAAGGAGTTATCATGAATAAAAATGTGAACACTCCAAAGGCATGCTAGGAATATGAAAAATGTGCATTCATTTGATAGGAATCTTACAGGAAGTAGCATTTCCTCAACAGCAGAAAGGCAAGCCAATTTCATTGAGGACTCTGGACTGCATTTCTGCAAAACTGTCATGAAAGCCTGCAATCAAGTGAAAATTTTGATACAACTACAAAAAACTGGCAGCATTTAACACATGAAAAACAAATCAAAAGGGGATCATAATTCTAGGGTCTAAACACAGATAATAATAGAGGACATGCCTACAGAATATAGAGATATTCCACATCATAACATTTTTTTCAATATCTCTAATATGTGACACTAAAACTGAAAATTACAGTTCTTCGAAATTTGACAAGACTGAACCATAAATCAAGAAAAACAAATTGAAGAAGTTACTACAGAGACACTTGAGTTGAAGAATAGGTTTCCAGTTTATTGCGCAAACCTGAAGGATACGAGACTTCCAAGCACCATCATTGATCAAAGACTTCCAAGTACCAGACACTTGCATAATAAGTTTTGGGGTAAAAGCAACCAGTGGAACTAAATGCTTCTCATGATGAACTTTACCGGCCTCTCTGCCATTGCAAATCTGCAGCGTGGTAGGCATTCTATTACAGCACACCATCAGGATTTAGGGCTAAGACACACATACTCATCTAAAGAGACAACTTGAATAAACAGGAGAGAGAAAACTGGAAAAAAGCAAAGAATAAATTTTCAAAGATTAGAAGCTTTTTGGGGTAAAACCACTTAAGTACTAAAATCTAGCTTTGAGCTTTCTAAGAATTTAGCTTTGAGCTTAATAAGTAAGCAGTAATGATGACTAAAGTTCAGATTTTTATCTCAAGCTCTACACATTGTGCATTAATTTTATGGCCAAAGCTAGTTTATTTATTCATTCCTGTTGTGAAGGGCTATTGTCAGTGGATTTACCTGCATTACGTTACTAAATTGTTAGAAAATGCGACTTAAGTATCATTCTTTCATGTAAACATTTTATTCTTTCTTTTTGATAGACAGGGGCAAGTAAAACAAGCTCACTGAATTCAGCAACGAAGGAGAACAGAGCGCAGACAACTTTTCACCAGTCATGCAGGTAGGCTGCAAACCTAGCAAACATTGAAGAAACAATGACAATAATTGAAAAATGTCGGGAACAATTTTTCTTAATTAGTTCCATCTAACATGCTCTTAACAGGAATTGCTTCTAAGCTTGTTGAGTTTTTCCTGAAAGACCTAAAATTACACCTGTTAACCTTGAAGCAAGATATCTATCTATGGTTCTCTGCATACAGAGTAAAGGTCTTACTTATACGATTGGCTCTGACCATGTAAACACTCCTATTAGTCTTTAGAAACCAAACCTACCAGATCTTGATTGAGCAATTAAGGGAGAAACCACACTCAGCAAGATAAAAAGCTCCTACAATTTTTCTTACTCAAAAGTGCATGTAATATAATCTGAGCATATAAAAGATCTTCTTCTACCATCTTCTTAATAATATGAAATTGAAAATGCCTTTTCTGATAGAAGGAAAAATTTGTAATTTTAGGAAGAGAAAACCCGTTCTTGTACTCTGCTCTCAGCCAAGTTTAAGACACAGGGTGGGATGGATTTAAATACAACTACTGGCAAACTGACATCTGGTCTTTGAGGATGAGAAGGATCCAATCCACAATGAATATTCGGTCTCTTAGAGCATGTATTTAGTCATAAGAAGTGGAAAGATGGGGTGGAGGATTTATACAGCTCCTACGCTCTTTTAAACTTTACTCGTCTTTGCTGTTTAGTTTCCTTCACATTTCACTATGGCTATGCAGGTGCTGTCATTGCCGTTATTTTCATTGTTTGTGCAATTTTACCAATCTGATCTTTTTCATATTAGTACATAACTTAGTTTACATATTGCAAAGAGCTGTTTCAGAGTGCAAATAAATCGCTGTGAAGCCATAAAGTACTCCAACACGGATATTATGATTTTACTTCGATTGGATAAGTGATGCTTCACGATTTTATTTTATGAACTGCACTCAGTATCTCGTCATTAAACGTTTTGTTTATTTTACTCAAATTACAATTATGGACGAGTCTTTATTCCTCGAGATGATATAGTTATGAAGTACTGAAATTCTTAATCTTTTATAGGTTCACAGCTTTTAATTACCAAGCTATCAATCAATCAGTGAGTCAATCCACTAGGCCTCAATTCCAAACTAATTGAGGTAGGCAATACGAATCCTTTATATATTCCTCTACTCAGGCCCACTAATTCCAATATTGGTAAAGTAATTGTCTTTAAAGCAATTTATGAATCCTCTAAAAACTCTAAATCCCACACTTATACCCACCTGAACCTAATTCCAATGCAACAACACTAAGCCATAATCCCTACTAGTTGGTGACATTCTTATGGATTCTTAGCTTCCCTTTTTTTTCCTGATATTTCTTTCTTTTTTTAAGCTAAGATTGTAGGTCTTTTATTATAGGTCCTTTGAGATAACCCCCTTCCATGTGAGTTCAGATCTACCCCATTCCCTTTTAATTTCCAAGCTACTATTCCCTCAATTTTCCTTTATGAAGCATATAATGCTTTGTTTTTCAGTCGACCTTAGCCAAAAAATATTTCAGAAATATTATGTGATCTGTTTCCTGTATTGTTCTTCTGCTTCTTGCCATGTGTTTTGTCGGTCTTGATTCTCTTATCCCCTGCTCATATGCCCTGTCTCTGGGTTCTACGAGCTGTCCAAACTCTAACAGAACCTGGAACACCATTATCATTCAAAATATATCCTATATTAACCCCACATCAACACTTTTGTCCTTTAGTTCTCTAATTTAACACCCAGGTTTTCTATTTCTCTAAACTAAATAAAGGGCTTGCTTCTCAGTCAAAGGCACAAATATTACAACCAGCTGAACTTAATGTTTTTGTGCTGAATTTTTATAAATTCTACATCACCAACCTTTTCAGATAGAGAACTCTCGATGAACTCCAGAAATCTTTCCAACAATGCAGGAGATAATTTGGACCCATAACTTAGTTGCAAAAATATTTCTGTAATCGCAATATTCAGTGTGAAATATCGGTCACCGTCCTGCAATGTGCAAAAGGAAAAAGATAAGCAATCAGAGAAAAATTACTTTCAATGAACAAAAGGACGAAAAGCAAAAGGAAAAAAAGAAAGAAGAAAAGTTATACCATGCATGACACAATGATGTTGATTGCCGAGGATGCAGATGTATGAAAATTTTAGCAATAAATAAGGCTTTCAACAAGGTAACTCGTAATCTCCAGTACCTTTACTCTTGAAAATATGTTTTGTTTAGAATAAGTTCAAGCATTCAAGACCTGTTTATAAAGACATAGATATTACCTATCAGGAGGAGATCCTCAATCACACAGCTCTATCTTACTACAATGTGGAGAGTGGGAGAGAAGAAGGCAAGAAGCTCATATTTCAAGTTTGAAAATATGTGCCTTGAGGCAGATAGCTTTATGGAGATGGTAAAGCAATGGTGGATTCTTACCTGTTCGATGGGAGACCTGATTTTATATTTGCTAATAAACTAGCATCTCTAAAGAGAGATATGAAAGAATGAAATATGGGAATCTGAAAATAGAAAGGGTAAGTTACTCCGGAAGATCATAGAAGTGAACAGAGAAGCAGAGGAAAGAGAAATGACTGAAGAAGAACTCATGCAAAGACTTGCTTAGAACTGGAATTACAAGAGATTGCTAGATGTGAAGAAATCTCCTGGAGACAAAAGTCAAGGTGCATGTGGCTCAAGCAAGGGACAGAAATGCAAAGTTCCTTCATAAAATGGCTAATATCCAAAGGAGATATAACATTGACAAGATTAAAAAAACCAAAGAAACAGGAGTCACAGAGGAGCAGCATGAGATAAAGTCATGTATCCTGGAATTCTATACAAATTTGCACAAAGAAGTCGAGATACGGAGACCTTCTAGGGGTCATAGCATCCAACAAATCATAGCATAGCAGAGTAATTGGATACAAAGCCCTTGCGGAGAAAGAAGTAGCAGAGACAATAAAAGAATGTGCTGGCGACAAGGCCCTAAGCCATAATGATTTCTTTCTGACATTCTACCAAAGTGCTAGACAGTAATCAAGGAAGATCTCACGAGTGCCATAAACTACTTTCATCAATATGAATCTTTTCAGAGGAGCCTAAAAGCCCCACAATTGCTTTGATCCCCAAGTGGGCGGGGCTGAGGGACTAAAAGATTTCAGACCAAACAGCATATTGGAGAGTTTCTACAAGATCCTAGTCAAGCTACTTCCTGAAAGATTGAAAAAAGTGATAAAGAAGCGGGTGGCAGAGCCATAAATGGCATTCATCAACGGCAGACAAAAACGAGCACAATCCTAATTGCAAATCACCTACTGGATACTAAGATAAAAAAGAGAATCAATGTATTCCTGCGCAAAATAGACCTGGAAAAAGCTTTTGACACTGCAAATTGGGTTTTCTCAACATGTTGAAACTGATGGCATACAGGATAAATGGATAAGTCGGATTGGATTTCATATAACAACAGTCGGGTTCTCATTCATCATTAAAGGGTCCCCAGAAGGTTTTTTCTCCTATGCATGGAGGATTGGAGCAAGGGGACCCTTGATCACCTTTCTTATTCATTATTGTTAAGGAAGGATAGGGCGCAATGCTAAAGTAGGCAAAACACTTGAACTGGATTAGTGGATTTTAAACAGCCACCAGGCCTCAGGCAACTCCCTCAATCATTGACATCAAGAAAACGAGACCAGTTGAGGAACTCTACCGATCACGTATCTTGGATGCCCTATGGAAACCAGATTCGAAGCTACAGAGACATGGCAAGGCATTTTGGACACACATGAAAGAAAGTTGTCAAATTGGAAGAAACAGTTCATATCTCTCGGGAAATAATGGTGTCAATCAACAGTATTCGAGATGTCCTGCGAACATACACCGTGACTCTTCGCAATTCCATCACCAGTGATGTAGAAGCTAGACAAAATCAAAAGGGACTCTTTGAGGGAAGGAGGCAACAGGAAAGGAAAGCTTTTCATTTCGAAAAATGGGAAACAGTTATTAAAAGCAAAGTAAATAGAGGCATGGGAGTCATATATATAAAGCTATACAACAAGAGTTTGCTCCACATATTGCATTGGAGATACAACCTCCCCAGAGATGCTCTTTGGAAGACACTGTTACTGAAAAGTATGGACAGCAACAGAACTAGCGTACTAAGGAAGTGAGCAGACCACATGGCAATGGATCCAGGAGGCATATCAGAGGTCTATAGAGTCTTTTTGCCAACAACTTCATGGTAACAGTTGGAGATGGCAGGAATACTTCTTTCTGGCACTGACAGGATACATGGATAGGACAATCACCTTTGGAGGAAGAACTCTATGATCTGTAGACCTCTGCTCAAGACCCACTAACCACAGTGGCTCAGTGTATGAGTTTTGTTTTAGATGAATCGAAATAGAGAGACTAACTCAACTCCAACAAGCACTGAACAGCTATCAAATGCAATACATCATGATGGATCTTTTGCACTGAACACATCAGAAGGATGGCATCTTCACAGCAAGTACCTGCTACTAGACTTTATCCCAGCTCAATAGAAAATTTCAGAGGTGGTGAATGAAGAAAATATGGAAGTAAAGCACCTTACAAGGTCTCTTACGTCGGTTGCACAATGGCACATGAAGCTGTATTCACTCAATCTAACCTCTAGCACAGAGGTTTAACCCTGAGCAATAGATGCTTCGGGTGTGAAAGAGACACAGAAGATGTGAATCACCTATTTCTACACTGCTGCAGTTGCAACAAAGCTATGGCAGATGCACCTCACTATTTTTGGAGTCAAATTTGTTATGCCAAGAACAACTAAAGAACTCCTTTTTGCTGGACAGGGAAAGGAACTAGGGAAGGCAAGAAGAAGTTTTGGAGAACTATTCCTGCATGTATATGGTGGTCAATTTGGAAGGAAAGATATCATAGAAGTTTGAGGGCAGAAAGGAAAATATCGACAAGCTAAAGTACACTAGTACAGTAGTCTTTCTTTTCTGGCCTTTTCGTGTAAGTTTCAAAATGTACATGACGTAGATAGTTTAATGGAATTCCTCTGTCAGCTCACTGATAAGAGCAGCAAGGGGCTTGGTCGTTGTAAGGCTCCTGACTTATCCTGTTATGCAGCATCTTAGTGCAACTAATCAATACAAATCTTATTTACTTAACAAAAAATGTGATTTCTTTATATACAGTGTGTTCCACTGTAGCTTCCTACTCTAATAACAAACAACAATACCACAAGCGACTAAAGCTGAACAATGAGATGCATAGACATTATTTTGCAAACAATAACCATCCCTTCAATGTATGTGTTGAGTAAGATCATCAGCGTTCTGCTCTGTTTTTAATTTCCAAATAGACTTGTGATTTTTCTCATTTTGTGTCGAAGAAAAGAGTATAGGAGGAGTAACCATTCTGGCTAACCTAACAGAGCATTATAACATTTGAAATTTTCTAACGGAGTCAGATAATGTTTTTTTATGAAGTATGGAGTCAGATAATGTTTTCAATCAGAAAAGAAGCATTCACAGTGCTTCGCCTTTCTACATGAATGTTCAGGCTAGAGCCACTATTACCCTCTTTATTTTCCGTCAGCCACTGTTACCTGGACACTTGTAATATTAGTCAGGCTAAAAGCAGTAGGAAAAGACATACAAACATAGCCCAGCCAATGCCTGCGATAATTCAAGGGTAAAAATGAACCCTACGATTGGCAACTAGAGAAGGTAAGGGAAAAGTACAAGGAAAATAGAAGAGAAAAAGAGGGGAAAAAAATTTGTGGGTCCCACAAGAAGATCGTTACTCTCCACTTCCTTTCTTCTTTCTCTTGAAAACTTANGAGAGCGGCATGGATGAAGAAAAATAATTGAAGGAAACTGTACCTTCTCTGACAAGCAATGAACTGGACTCAAGGGGAACTCATCCCATAACTTCTTTAAATTCACTACTGATATACTTTGGTCACATATGCTAAGGTTGTTTTTCTGGTGAGGTGGCAGATTTTGGGAGTCTTGTTGACATTTGCCAGACGCATGAACAAAGAACCTCACCACAAGATCAATGCTTTGAAGTAAAGACAACATACAATCGAAGGATTGTGCATCTATCTGGGCTGTGGAGTGGATCAGTGGACTAAAGTCCTGGAAGCAGCTAACTAGAATGGGTAAGAGATCTGTCAACTTGTTGACAACACCAGAAAGACCTACAAAACAAATGACATCAGGATTCAGATTTAGCAATTCTCGACAAAAACAAAGCCAAATAAAGTCATAATGAATGCAGATGGGAGCAATATCTCATTATATTCCAACAGATAATCACGCAACTGCAAATGATGGTTACATCCCAACATTAAGCAACAATAATAACATTACTTTCAATGAGAATTTTCTCCTATTTATACCTTTACCTTTTCAAAAAAAAAAAAAAAAAAAAATTCTCCTATTTATACACTTCATAATGGATATCCGATCTAAGCATCAGGGAGGACCTCAAGACTAATGTTGTGGAGACATTTATTTTCAGGTTAATTAACTTAAACCCTCATAGCCAGTCTCCCCACTAGCTCACATGTGATCCTAAAGACACTTTTAAATTTAAGAAAAAAAAGAGCAAGATCCTGTCAGCGAGTTACTTGTGTAAAGGAAGTAACATCACCCGGGTTACATCTATAGATGAATATAATCGTAAAAATAAAAGATCCTACTTAATTAGTCTGGTTGTGTAAAATCTTCAACGCTTACTAGCCACCATCTGTGATTATGTGTAAGTAGCAATCACAATCTCTTTAAATTATTTCAGTTCTGCTCCAATGCCCAAATCTCAATGTAGTAATTTTATGTGTTAAATATGCTTCGGTGTTGAGGAAGGTTCAAAATCAGAAGTTCTGTTAACAGCCCCTCCTTCATCCTCACAGAACAATTTGATGAAATAGACGGCCATCTTTTACCTTTTCTAAGAAAAAGAGTAACTCCACTAAAAAGAAGCGAAAAGGGAGCAGAAAGTGAGCCCTTAACAGAAGAGAAAGGGAAATGAAAGCAAGAGATAACCAAAATAATCATTCATGAAGAATCCAATTCTCAACCAAGGTCTTCTATACGTTCTGGCCCTCCAATGCTCAGGGATCAGATCAGTGTGTTTAATAGCGATATACACAAAAAAGGGACAAGGTCCTTGGGGCATGAAATGAAGGACTAGATGTGAAGCACACTATTTACAGAAAATCAAAAAATACCAAACACATGTGAATTTATTACTATGGTAATCAAATTGCAATTAAAGTAACTCATTGCGACATCCAATATACAATAATGCCGATGTCAATCCAACTCTTCAAAGTTAAGATTCAAAGAACCGATCACTTTTTGCTTGGATCACTTTACAGCCATTGTTTGAAGTGCATGACTTCATATATGAAGCAATAACCCTCGCTGTGCAAGCGACGAAACGATGGATTTCAATAACACTGGTTTAGATATATTGAATCTTTTCCCTAACTGCATTTCTTGTCTCAAGCTGTTTATCAAAGGTGAAAGGCATTGCTAAATTTGGAACTCACAAGTCAATCTCTTTAATCTCTTACCATTGCTTTTAAAAGGACAAACATGCTTAACCAGACTGCCGAGTCATGTGACTACTTTACCCCATCATATAAAGCATAGAGTTAACTCCATATTCTTTTGCCTCCCACCTCCCAAAAGAATAGCCTGGTAATTGATTCACAAAGTACATGATGTAACTAAAAAAGGCAGTTCAGACAAGATAAGCAATGTGTGTTGGTTTAGTTGTGTTAAAATATTCTACTTATACAATGTGTAGTATCTAGTCAAGTAAGGGGCCGTTTGGTTCACAATAAGGTTATCCCAGGATTGTAATCCTGGGATTATAATCCCACCTTCTACATGGGATAGATAATACCAAGATTTTGGTATAAAATTTATACCAGTATTAACTAATACCAATAACCAAACTGTGGATAGATGCAATCTGAAATTTAATACCGGGACCTAATCCCCGTAACTAAACGACCCTTAAGAGTTTTAAACTGTTTCTGACCTAGCATCAGAGCTCCCAACAATTGTCCTTTAGCTGGTAGTAGGCCGATGCCAGCTTATGCTCAAGGTTTTATCACTTTGCTCTCCCTATACAAGTCAGGCACTAAGAAAGAGCCTATGGCTTCGTAGTTGCAGTTAGTTCAACTAGCACAGGAGTATGGAAGGCAGTTAAAGGTAAGCAGTATTTCAACTTTGACTTGGGTGATGGGAAAAAGCTGAGATTTTGGGAGAATTCATGGTTGGGACATGGCCTTTAATGGAATAGTTCTAAACTTAAACAGAATTGCTACTCAACAGGATGTTACTGTTGCACAGTATAGGAAGAGGGTTGATTTGAATCTCAAATTTGGCCAATGTCGGGACTGGGAGATAGATGATGTGGCAAACTGCTAGGAATGCTGGAATTGAGTGGAGTGGAAAGAAGCAAAGGAAGATTAAATAATCTGGAGGGGCGACTGTACAGAAAGTTCTCCATCAAGTGGATACAATCTCTTCAGAACAAGGAGCCAGCAAGAAACTGAAAGCAGAAAGCCTAGCTTATCTGTTTGCAAAGGTAACTAACCAATAAAAGTGTCTTGTAGATAACCAATAAAAGCATGTTGTTTTGGCTGCATAGCCCTACATGATAGTAAAGCCTGATGCAAGATCAGAAAAGGAACTACTATATGTAGCATATGCTATGTGTATTATGCAGATATGGAAGACTCATGAGTCTGTAACATTCTTTTCCCTTATGGAGGTCTAGCGGATCGTACCAGGCAATGTGAAGGAAGCAGTAATGAGGTAGAAAGCAGTGAAGATAAAGAAGTTCAAGAAAGTTTGGATCACTACACCATGGTGCATTTGCTGGAGCATCAGGAGAGAAAGATCAGAGACGCTTTGAAGGAAGGGCCACTCCATTACATTTTCTGAGAGCCAATTGTTTGAAATATTTTAGCTTTTCCGCGTAAATGGGATCTATTGAATGATGAAGAGGATACTAAAGAACTTATCAGCTCCTTTACCTGCAGACTCGTAAAAGGGAGACTGGAATTTATGCTGTAAATAGAGCAACTGGTTGATTCAAGTATGAATGAAACCTTTTGCTCACTTTTAAAAGAAAAGAAAAAAAGAAAAATCTACAGAATCAGATCTATTCTGGAATCCTTTCCTGATGTTACTGCCAGGGAAATCTGCAGATTTATTTATGCTGCAAAAATCTGTGCCGCAAAAAAAGTTTAAAACGACGCTTGTCCAGAAAGCAAAGTATCTTAATATCAACCACAGTTACCTACGGTCCAGCTGACACTACTAGTTTTTACCGTATTCATTACATCCAAAAACGTAACATATGTTGAGTGCTTTGATCACACATTGCTACTATACCAATAAGATCGTTCTAATATAAGAGTCTATGGGCCTAGAAAATCATTAAACTACAACGCTAGAACTCAGGACTCAGGAACAACATCCAAGCATTACTAAAACGATAACAATTGCCTTATAATAATATTTAAAACTTCTTTAAATGACTGTCTATCATCAATTCCTTAGGATTGCTAAATCATGGGAGACCTAACAAAAACTAGTTCCCTTTTTAATGTTTCTCCTAAGAAGGATTTCCAGCTTTTCAGAAAAAATATGTACATGTAGTTGCCAAGTCCATTAATCTTGGTGAAGTTAAGCTTTTCAACCTCTCCATGGTGGGTTATTTTTTGCTTGTACCATAGGGAGGAGAGTTAATATTTTTATTTTTATTTTTTTGATACTGAGAAATCCGAGTACCAGGTGGTACAAAGTTCGAAACTCAGTGGATATGGGTCTACCACTCTACCCTTATCCATTTAAATATCAAGCTTTTGTCTATTGCGGGGTTCAAACTCGTGACGTGTGTCTAATCCACAAAACACGAATTGCGCTCTTACAACTAGACCAAAGCCCTTGGGACTAGAGAATGGAGTTAATATTTGGAGCATGCTTTGCTTGTTTAGGTAAATGTGGGGAACAATAACCCCCACAATTGATACCATGTTTATTAGATGTTTAACACAATCGAGGAGATCATCGAAGCTTTCATGGACCAGGTATTATGTGATTGTGCATCTCGAAGATAAAGTTGTTACCAATAGCCTAATGGTCGGTAAGAATACTTAAAGGTTCATCAAAGTATAAGTTGCAATTAAGTACACAGGAAGTATATTTATATCCAATGCAAGGATTTATCATAAGCAGCCCTGGTCTTTGAAATGAAAGCAGCAGATCTGGAAGTTCAATTCAACGCAAATTCTTACCAGTAGATTTATTGGAGACATCAAGGTCAAAAGCATGCAAGCTAGCCCGAGCTGCATCCTATGCAAACGAAAGAGTAAGTGCCGAATGGAAGAAGCTTACAAAGAAAGTAACTGGAAGCACAGTACAGAACATGTTTAGCAGTAATTAAGGGCAAATTGCAGTACATCAACCACAAGTTGACAGAACAATCTAACCATCCCACCCCTAAAAAAGAAGGAAATACCGACGAAAAATGTAACATGCACGCCAAAGGAAGGTAACTACAAGGGTCCACTTTTGCATGATATTTGGAACAGGAAAACTTACTCCATAGGCAGAGGGTTTATCTGAATTTGCAGGAGTACAAATACAAGGATAGGCCACTCATCAATCTTGTATTGTATACCATGATGGCAAGTAAGAACATCCATTCCAAATGTTACAGTATTCTTTCCAATTTATTAGGGTCATTGCATAGTTATATTCCAATTTATTCTACATCAAGTCCCCCCCTTTTAGTATAATTTAATTTGGAGGCTAAACAAGAAGTCATGTTGTAGCATCTTATACTGGCTAAGCTTTTCAATGAGATTATGGCGGTTAGGAGCTCTACTGTACACGAAGTGTTCGGACATTACTGTACAAGGAGGCAACACCTTGGTGCCCCCTACATATTTTCACCTATAAAACGGAACAAAGACAGTACGTTCTCCCCTCTTCTCTGTTTTCAAGCATCATCCCAGTGATTATTCAAAGGAAGGTCAAATTACTGACCTGGACAGTTAGCTAAATCCTCCATAGAACTTACTCATGGGTTCTTAGAAAAGTACAAAACATGCATTTGTTCGATCAAAGAAAATAAAATTTAACAGAAACTGAATAGGATATAAGACATAAGTATGTATTATAGCGCAATTAGAGACAGACATGTCAATTCTGATAAGTTATTGCAAAATTATATATTGCAGACATTCTTGAGTACCAAAACAAATTATTTCCTACGAGTAACATACAAAAAAATAATTTCCTGCAATTCACATAGAACCATAAAACTTCGGAAAAGTATGCACTTGAGCATGCTGATGGCATAATTAACAAGATAGTACATTGTCACTTAAGGAGTCGCCTTCTTTCTGATTACTACACGGTAACAGTGACAAGCAGCGAACCAACCCAGCAAGAGCATTCTTTAGCCTGCCCTTGTCTTGCAAGTAAAATCTGTTCTTCTGCAGAATGTCCTCATAGTTCTGGAGAATCTGTATAAAATAAGAGGCTTTTTAAGAAAAAACTCCATCACGACATTTAAGACAATAAACCATAACAGAATAAACAGACATGAAATACAATACACTGATACATAAAAATCTTACATCAGATTGCTAGAATTAAAAACAAATGTATCAAGAACTTATTTTTCTGGTGCTTTAGTAAACTCTAGATACAATGGATCATTACTTGGATTTTTTGTATTTCTTGGGAAGAAACATGTAGCATGATGGGGAATCTGTTGTAGTTTCAAAGTTTGTACTGATTTCTGTACCATCTTGGGGTTTTTTTTTTAATAAAAGCCTTTACTTATCAAAAAGAAAAAATCTTACATCAGATGAAATGGTGCGTGAAGAAAATAAAACAGCACTATACAGCAATAGCAATTTCATCATTTTAAAGACAATGGGTTGAGAAAAACAGAAGGAAAACTCTTCTTCTCTGATAAGTAACCTAAATATAATTTATTTATTATCAATCTGATAAGTGACCTAAATATAATTTATTTATTTTTTGATAACCCAGGAATCACCGAGGGCCAGTGGTGCACGGTCTAAACTCAGTGGATAATGGGCCCATGACCGAGCCCTAGTAAGACCGCAGCTTATAATATGTGGGTTAAAACACAATACCAAGGTTCGTAAAAGCGCAGCTTGTGATGTAAATACATTCTAACTATATTTTCCTTGACTGATACATTCTAAGTATATTTTCCTTGACTGTTACATTCTAAGTATAATTCTATTAAGCACATTATCAAAGTTTACATCCCACACTATGTTGCGCGGACTCTTCATTTTAGCCGCCGCACCCTCGTGTCGAGACAACACTGGTACTGGTGGGTGTGGGATTCATACAGGGTGTGGTCAATCGAGATCGAGTGCTTTAACCACTATCCATGGATAAATTTGACGAAAAATGAAAAAAATGAAAAAATGAAAGATTGAATTTTAGTTGTTGCCTACTAGAGCCTACAGCTTGAGAAATTCTCAAAATGAAAGATTGAATTATTGGTTGCACTTCATTACCAATAAGTTTTTCCACAGAATATCTCTCATAACTTTGGATATTTGTATAGATCTATTTTTCGAATTCTGAATTACTTTTAGCCGAATCCCCACACCTGTATCCGTACCTCGATCCGTACCCCAGAATCTTAAAATTTAGATTATGAAGGATCCGACCTCTAGATTCGCATCCGGATCGAATACCAGCACCCAAATCCGAGCAACATACTGGACTTGCATTTTCTAGAATGTGTGGGTCAACGAAAATATAGATAAAGTTTCTTTTTTTGTTTGTTGAAGACCTAATTAAGTAAATAAAAGTGTGCTCTCTCTAACAGCTTAAGTTTTTAGATGAGATGGTCGCACAATTAAACACGGTATCAGAACAGGTAGAGGTCCTGGGTTCGAGTCTCATCGCAATCAATATCAAAAAGAATTTTTACGTGCTTGGCTCATTAAAAGAGAACACACTTTTATTTACTTAATTATGTCTTCAACACGCCCACGTGCTTGGCTCATTAAAAAGAATCAAGCCCGTACGTGAGGGGGCATGTTGAAGACATAATTAAGTAAATAAAAGTGTGCTCTCTCTGACAGCTTAAGCTTTTAGATGAGATAGTCACACAATTCAACATTGTTCTTTCTGATAAATCAAAATATAGTTAGAGAATTACCGTCAACAACGGAAAACAATGCCAAATTAAAAATCAGGTTAAAACATGGTCAAAACTTTCCACATATAAAAATCTATTTATTTACCTTTTCAGCGTACAATAAAAAGGAAGACGGAAAATACTGGATCAAGAGGTCAAAAAATTTGAAAGCCATCAACCGCACTTCAATAGCCATGTTTGTCATCGCATTAAATATATATGTCATCATCAAGGAATTAATTGGTCCCTTATTATCCTGCAACACAAACAAATAGTGTTAGCCCCCTCTTTTTATAGGTGAAATGTAGTACAAAGTCCTGCAAAATTCGAACAACCAACATTATAATCACAGACAGAAGAATAGAAAAATACAGCCATCTGCTCCCCAAATATTAAGAGAATATAAGACGATATCGCAAAATCACAAGCAGGAACAAGGCATGCAAGGTAAGGTTTAACTTAATCTAAAAACGCAAGACTAACAAGCAAGAACGGAACTAACAGTAAAAACCGAAGGCAATTGAAACAAACTCTATCTTTTCTTAACATTTCACTCGTGGATACCAAATCACCAGCAGAGGAAATATACATTTTGTATTGCTTCATTGAAAGGAACCTAGTGACCAAACAACAAACAAGCTGGTAACCTCGCCTTATCAGACTTTGTAAGAGTACTGAGTAACCAAACAACCAAATAGAACGTAACCATTATTCTTCCAATGACTAAATCTTGTAGGGACTTCTCACATATTGAAACTTCTTGTGGTAAGCCTCAACTCCTCTTCTCCCTTTTTTCCATTTGAGATAAGAAGAAAACTATCTAGGAAGTTATACGTGAAGGCCAGGTAGTATGAAAAAAGCATCATACACTCGTTGCCATTATTCCATTGACGAAATTATAGAGAACTTCAGTAAAAGACAGCTCGTGAAACAAGCAAAAATTGTGTTACGAAATGCTAAGCACTACAAGCCTTCTGCCTATGATTTATAAGAGGAACAAAATAGTCAGAGGAAACTCGATGCATATGAGAACTTGAACCTTGAGAAATGGGGTACATGAGTTCTCGATAGATGACCATTTGACGTACACCAGCTATGATTTGTCAATTTGACGATCTGACCAGATCATTGAAGCATGTTTCTTCCACTTAGAGTTAAAAAGGTGCGGGGTTGGGGAAACTAGTTGTTAGTGTCACTAAATAAACCCACTTAAAATAAGTAAAATAAGTGCAGCAAGAAAAACAGTGGTCACTTAAGTGGATTATAGCGCACAGCAAGTTGGCAACTACTTCAGGTGATGAATACGTGCTCTGGGAAGTATTGTCGTATAGATAGCAAATGCACTTTTACTCATAGAAACCACGCCAGGTGCTAAAGAGAGGACTGGAAGAAAATGGTTTAGAAACTACCTCTTTACAGCCAGGAAAAATAACTGACTTGAGAAGCTGATAGAGTGTTTCACGGACCAACTTATCATCGTCACTGATACGTTCACGTAATTTCTCAATAACAGCTAGCTTATGCAGTTTCAATTCAGCAGGGAATTTAAGAAGAACATCTCTAATTCCGATTAAAGCATCTGGAAGTCAAAAGAAATTGAGCATGGTTAACCACCACATTATGCCATTGACTATAAAGATGAGAAATAAGGCCTAAACGCAATAAAATAGGATAGCAAATGCTTTGCAATCTCAAAACACTTGCCATACTCAATATAGGATGTTTTGTAAGAACCTAATCTTTTTTTTAGTCAAAAGAACAAAATGAATTAAAGAAGAAACACAAAGTAAACTTAAACTAGTGAAACATTAGCTCGAGCAAATGACATAATTTCATCTTCTATAATCATAACACTGTCACTTGTGTTCTTTTGCTTCATTTTTGGTGTAACATGGCTGATGTAAATACTTCTCACCCTAGCACCGTATTGGATGTTATTAGCTCATTACATGACCTGTAAGGCTCTTTTTTGGTAACTTTCCCGGCATCTTCTTATTTTATTATTTTAATAACCGTAGTGTCTAGGCCAGCTTACACGCACCTCGACTTTCCCATCATCTTCCTGTTGCTGGTTTCTTATATAAATGTTACTCTTTTATTGATTAAAAAGAGCCACTTGAAAGTTTCTTTTCTAATAGAAACCCCAAAAAAAACGAGAAGAGAAAAAGCAAAAAGAAGAAAAGATAGAGAATGAAAGTGCCAAATGAATACAAAACATATATGTAGCAAAGAGCTATAACATTACATGATGCAGTTTATATTTTATTTTTTATTTTAAAAAAAAAAAAAATTGCCCTTTATGGTAACAGACTGCGCAGTAATGTTAACAAGGTAGTACCTTTACGAACTTTGGCATTGTGATGACTTGTTTGCTGAAGAAGCTCTTTCAACGTTAAACCTTTCTTGCTCACAGCTAAACCAGCCTTCTCTGAAGCTACACTTTGCTCAGGTAGAATAATTGCTGCAATTAATTAAGACATTAATAAAAACATGCTTTAATCCGTCAATCTTCCTCAACTGCATAGACAACTTTATATTAGACCATTTTGATCAAAATTTACATCACTAAATGGAAACCAAAATGGTTCAAGGCATTAACTTAATACAAAAAAATGGCTGTTACTGTCCAAACAGACGATTGCAAAAAAAAGGAGTCTATTTTACCACTTTTCACCCTGTTACAAGAATAGAAATCGTATATACACACATAGGCAAAATATAACTAACCAAGTTAACCATTTTTCTTTACCTTTGGATTTGATTTCAGTGTTGGTAGCATTCTGGGCCGGAGGCAATTTTCTTCCAATTTTCCTTTTTATTTTCTGCAGACCAATTCTTAAGCATGTGAAAAGAAAAAAGAAACAGGAATTGATTGAAAAATTATTGAATGAAATATTTACTTTGAAATCAACACCACGCTTTTGCTTCTTCTTGGATTGAGCTTTAGACTTGTTGACCATTGTTTGGAAGCACGTTAAGGATAATTGAAGGTTTGAAGTATGTAGGGTTTTTCAGCTAAGGTTTTGCCCGTTTGGAAGGAGGAAGAAAAGAGAGCTTGTTAATTGCATATAAAGCCCTTTTATAATTTTAAAAGATCTACTTCAACATTTGAACTAATATTACAAGGGGAATAGCACACAGGAGGTCAACATGCCTGCTTGGCACAACTGGGGGTATTGTAGTAATTTCCCTAAAACAGAGCAACATGATTGGCCGAAAAGTAATTGTACTGCAGCTGTTACATAAATGTTTTAGTGACTTGACAAAACTACCCTCGCGTATCTCATCATCCATCAGCAGACCACTTCTTGAAGTTTCATTTTTGCCCCTGTTTTCATTCTTTATTGCATAGTTGCCTGTATGTATTTTGGTAAATTTGGCAAAGTTTGAGCACAATTATATAGTAGTGAAAAGCAACAAATGTGGTTTCAGTTTGAAGTTTCGTTTTCTCTGTGAAATCTTGAACGCATTACATTTCCTCTCTCTTTCTCCCAATATCTTTTTCTATTCAAAATTTTTAATGATATGATCATCCATCAGCAGATCACTTTTTGAAGTTTCAGTTTTGCCCCTGTTTGCATTCTTTATTGCATAGTTGCCTGCATGTATTTTGGTAAATTTGGGAAAGTTTGAGCACAATTATATAATAGTGAAAAGCAACAAATGTGGTGTTAGTTTGAAGTTTCGTTTTCTTGTAAAATCTTCAACCCATTACATTTTCTCTCTCTTTTTCTATTTTAATGATATCATTGTATAACCTGTTATACTATAAGTATTACTGATAGTTTATAAATTATTTCAATTTTCAAGTAATTATCAATTAATACTTATTTTTTATGTGTGTTTGAATGGCGATGCGCAAGACGAAAGCAATCGGGTATACAGCGAAGAGAAAAGCTGAAGAATCCACAGAGACTATAAAGGAAAATGTTAATAAGAGCATGAACACCACGAACTAAATTTAAACTTTAACATTTCAATACATAGAGACATTAGCTCTTCCTAATTATATCCCTTTTTTAAAAGAAATAATAAAGAATTTTTTTTTCTTTTTTAGTTTGCTGAAACCGCAAACAAAAGTTTACGAGTTTGTTGTATTTCGGTAGTTGGGAATATGACTCCATTATGTTATTTTTTTAGTATGGAATAAATGTACACTGATTAGTTATTACTCTCTGATTTATTTTATATGACTTCTTTTTCTCTTTTTGCTTTATTAAAAAAATGACATATTTATAAATTTGAAAATGATTTAACTTTAAACTTCTTATAATACTTTTAGTGATATATTTTTATAGTCATAAAAATGTCATTTCATGTTTAACAATAATTATTCTAAAGATACTTAATATGTGTCAAAAAATGTTCTTCGAAGTACATTATACATTTTGAACTTAAAATGTATGAATTCAATGTGTGTAATTGAGATTTTGAACTCACATCAATACTCTACTCCTAACTATGTAAATATGCTTAAGCAGAATGACAAAACAATATAAAGGAAAGAAATAAATGAAATTAAAAATCCAAAACACCATAAAATGAGAATGAGTAAGATTGAGCCGTGCATCTTTCCAGCTGTTGAATACTTTTAATATTTTTTTTGTGTAGCATTGAAATCTTTTAATACTTGATGATTATTATTTAATATTTTGCTATTTAAAACTTTAACATTTTTTCTTATGAGTCCACCCAACCGATTAAATTAAAAATAATTGATTGTATAATTTATTTATACTGGGTAAAAAAGTAAATTTTAAATCCAATCGGCTATATTTGTATAATTTAGAAAAATAAACTCAACATGCACTATAGTGAGCATGGGCCATCCTTTACTAGTAATTAGATACACACTCAAAGTTGATAGACACTTTAATTTTCCTAGTGATCAATTAGACTTTTCTTCTCGTGAATACCTCACATTGACTGGCCAAATGTGTGTTTTTCTTTAAAATCCTTTAAATATTGGTTTTTCTTCTTTATTTTTAATTTAATAATAAAATTCTAGGAACCCCAACATTTTAACTATTCTCATTAACACCCCACCTTCTTCAATTTTCCATCCACCAGCACCAACGCATAAAAATAAAAAATTCACTATATTATTTTGGATATATAATATAAAATTATGTCAACAACGTAACTTTACCATGAAATTAAATTTATCAAAATAAATTAAAGTGAAATAGTACATTTTTTTAGGAATGAAAATGGTAGTTAGGAAGTCCATCTTTTATTGTAATATTCATTGTTGAAGGTTACTTCCAACTTTTACATTAATTTATTGACTTGAAGGTCGAATTACTTCAATATTTTTCTCTTAAATCTCGCAATGTGATTTGAAATTTAGAAGTAAAAAAAAATAATGAGATTTAATCGATAATGTAATCTTGTCCTTTGATTGATTCATTATAATTTTCTGTGAGCGTAGAAGATTGAACTAAGTATCGATGGATGATCGTCGACTAGTGGGTGCTTTTTGTGGTTGAAGGAAAGAGGCTAGAGATGGTGAAGGAGTATTTGGAGTGGCTGATTGCTAGAATTGCGAGATGGGGATATGGGAATGGTATTTTTTATAGGGAGGGTGTCGAAGTAAGGATTGCTAGATAATGATTTTGGTGGGAAAAAATATGAGGAAAGGTTGATAGGGGTTTACAAAATAAAGGTGCTCTGCCTTTTTCTTTCCTTTTCACAAAAACAAAATATATTATATTTTTGATTTATCATGTTACCATGTCATTAGCGATTATGAAGTTTAGTATCTATGTATCTAGCCTTTTGAAAATTAGGCAGCTAACCCGAGGCAGGGTTGGCAACCAACAACATTTAATTTTGTATCTTTTTCTCTCTTAATTTTTTTAAATCTATTTAATGGTTTAGTTTGATGTCTTTGGGCTTTACACTTGACACCTTGGAGCTTTATAGTTAAAGCCTCCAGGTTTTATGCATCATTATTTATATACATGTGATATTTTGATTTGTATACATGTGCTATGCTGATTATATTTTGAATACATTTACTATATTTATCTCATTTTGTGAATATGTTGATTGTATTATGAAAATGAGTTTATGCTATTAACATGCTTACATACCTCCAAATATAAATTGTTCAAATTAATGAATCATGTTATATTTTGGATTTCATGCCATATTTTTACAAGACTTGTCTAGCTTTTAGAGGGTTGCCTATGAGGCTCAGTAAATACCTATTGCACTCACTCTATCATTTATTAATATTTTCTTATAAATACAGACGTTGCTCTAAGGTCAAGCTTCTAATAGCTCCTTCTGCCTTCATATGCAGTGGTGAGCTTCACTTGCAGTAGCATAGCTACACTAGTGGAAAGGGTACTCAGACGAACACCCTTCACCAAAAAATTATATTGTATATTTAGGATAAATGTTATTTTTTATGAATATATATTAAATCTTGAACGCACTTAACACAACTAAGAGATGTAGCTCACTAACCAAGGGTGTTTAAAACCTTATAAACAATGCAAGTATGAGTCTTAGAGCCCGTTTGGATGGACTTGTTTTAAGTGACTTTTAAGCCAAAAGTCATAAGTTAAGAATTCTAGTTTTTGGCTTTTGGCTTATTTTTTTTCATTTTAGCTTAAAAACAAGGGTTCAAAAGCACTTTTTTATTACATCCAAATACTACAAAATGGCTTAAAAGCACTTAAAATAAGTCAATCCAAACGGGCTCTTATTCCCACATTTCATAAAACATACTCATTTCCCAAAGTTTGGCCCGTTTGATTTTTTATTTTAATTAAAATTTAATTAATAAATAATTTTTTTTGGTCTTTGTCTTAGTTACAATAAAAAAACTCTCTTTTTATCACATGTATTTTTATGATTTAGCTAAATATTACGCAAATTAATTTTAAGAAAATTGGCGCACTTATTTATCGAAAAATTAATTACTAGTTCAAAGTTTGAACACCTTTCGCGAATTTTTTTTCTATGATACTATCCAACTGTATTTTGGTGGAGCCCTATTAAATAGTTTTATTATGTTTGTAGAGTCGAGCTGCATCACAAGTTAAACAGTGTACTATTTTATCTATTCTAATGACTAAAGACCAATCCTAGTGGGTAATATATATTTTTTGAAGTATAAACACGACGATGATGATGATGATGATGATGATCTTTACCGAATTATGGTATGCATGAGACATAGTAGTTGTGTGTACATGGATCTTTACCGAATTATGGTAAAGGTTGAGTGTGGATCATGCATAGACGTTATAGACTCATGTTATCTGATGCATATCATTTTTATATGCAGATTCAGAGCATAGGCTCGTGCTCTTTGAAGCATATCACCCTTGTATGCAGACTTGGTGCATCTAATTATGCATTTGATCATTCTACTTGAGAAGCATTGATATTATTTCTCTAGAAAGTGCACCTTATTAAAAATACCGGTTATTTCTTGGCCGATTCTCTGTTATTCTATATGCATATGAATTGCACATGTTATATACAGTGAGTATCTTTTGACTAAACCTCGCTGCTATATGGTTGGTTTACTAATTACGTCCAACTCTAGTCCTAAAAAGAATAAGCGATCGCTGCAAATATAATCCGGTCTAAAAGTCCGGAGTCGAATCCCATAAAGAACTAAGATTTCGCTATAACTGTTCAATATCAGTAAAAAGATAAGCTAGAACAATTTCAAAGTTATAAATATTAAGATTCTTATGTTTAACTAATTAACTAACAAATTAAAGTAGTAAATTAACAACTAGGGATACTAAAGGTTGGAGACAAGATTGAAAAAGCATTGCAGTTATGATTTTCTCAATTGTCGGAATCCCTCCCGCTATATCTCCTACAATTTCGCCTAAGTTTTCTCTATTGATTATGAGCACTCGACTTATCGTAATTCTCTCTCGGGCAATTACAATAATGTACTAGTCATATTCTCTCGAATTACGCTAGCTTGCACTTTTTTACCACTCACTATGATCACGTCAAAGCTTCTTTATCTCTAATCCCACTTTTAAACTCACCGTATTGATCCCTCATATACCTTGGGAATGATGTTGTTCGGAAACAACCTAAATATGCACTCT